ATGTTTTTTTATGATTTGATATTTTTTTTAATATTAAATTAGTTGTAAGACTTGAGTTAAATAAATAAAATTATTTTTATGCTCAAAAGCATGTTAAATTAAATTCTAAACGTTGAACTTGAATTCAAAATGGTATATTTAGTAAACAGTTTTTAAACTTTGCAACAGATAATAAAGCTGCAACAGTCTCATTATTTTTTTTTTTATTATTTGTATTAATTCAGTTGAAATAAAAATTATAAAAAAAAGAAAGGTTTAGAACCAGAAGTTTTGTGAGGCTCTTTGAACCATTTTATCAACATTGTTTTCAAGTCTTTCTCTGCTGTCAGTGTCGGTGTCGGTGATCTTATACAAAACGTTATTATTAAACTACTAAACTATGGCCAGTACAGAGTCTGATCGATTTGTTTCGAAGTTTAAGAAAGATGTTCCATCGGTAAGCATCACCACTGTTAGTCGACCAATTGGTACAAATTTAAGAAGGCGAGCATTCGAAAATGTTGCCAATGAAACAAGCTATACCAGCACAAGTACTAGTATTACACCTAGAAGTACTGTTTCAAGTAGTGTAGGCGTAACGAACAGAGTTGGAGTCAGTCGTTTTTCTAATCAAAACACTTCAGCAACGATTTCTCCAAGTAAACAAGTAGATGATGAAACATCTATAAAAGACAGAATCAATAAAATTTCTGTTAAAGATGACAACTCTGATAAAAATGAAGAGCAAGAAACTTTTTCATCAAGGGCAACGGGGACAAGTTTAGAAAAAAAAGACAAAGAAAGAGGTATTTCTAGTGTAGGTTCATCATTTAAACGTAAACAAAGAAAAATTTTATTGGAAAAAAGAAAACCTACAGGTGTCGTAATAATGCCACAACAACCGGTAATTATTATTATTGTAGTTTTTACTATTTATTGTAATTATTGCTGTTATTATAATTGTTAATAATGTCGTTATTATCACTATTATTATTGTATAACGTATAAGTGCACACACACACATACATACATACATACATACATACATACATACATACATACATACATACATACATACATACATACATACATACATACATACATACATACATTATTTTGTTTGAGATATTATAAACAAATTACAAGAATGCAGCAAGGTACTAAAACTTTTAAAAATGCATTCTATTTTTTTTTATACATAAGTATCAACATAATTAAATATATTTAAAACAAAAATCATCACACATGTTGCATGTAAATGTTTACTTCTTTTATTTTGGAACCAATCAATTTTTTTTTGTTATTATTATGTATCCAAAAGCATATTAAATACTTTCTTGTAATAATCTCTCACATCTTGGGGCATGGTTTTGCTTGTTGATCCATTTACAAGTAGACAAATTAAAAAATGAAATTTTTTAATTTGTCTTCTTCTAGCCCCGGTCATGTGATTATTTTTTATAAGTTACGGCTGTAAATTTTTTTTCTTCTTATTGACAGAAGTGTAAAAAAAAAAAAAAAAAATCTTACTTGTATGAAAATCGGATTTTTTAATAAAATTGAAAAAAAAAAAAATTATTTTGTAGGAGTTCTGATCCAGAAATTTTGAGAGGACTGATAGAAAGATTTAAGTGAGGTTAGCAAAATTTTCCCATTGGTTTCTAGATGGCAATAAATGACGGTTACATGATTAAGGAAAATATATTTTCACTTAAGTAAAAATATTTTTAAGCAAATTATAATTATAGTTTATAAATTGTTTAAACTAAAATTTTTAGTATTACTTTTTATTTTAAAAGTTTATCTATAAATTTCTCTTCAGGAAAACTATTAAATACATTTTTGTCCTGAAATAAATATCAGTATAAATAAAATATGAAATAAGGTATCAAATATATATCGATAGTTTAAAGTACAAAAAATTAATGTGCATACTTGAAAGTTAGACATTTTCACCATAAATATATATATATATATATATATATATATATATATATATATATATATATATATATATATATATATATATATATATATATATATATATCTCAACCCTATCGATCTCCCACAGGTTCTCGATAGGGTTGAGATCCGGAGATTGAGACGGTCAATCCATCACCGATAGGTGGTTGTCTTGAAACCACTGCTTGACTATTTTTGCAGTGTGTTTTGGATCATCATCTTGCTGAAAAACCTATTTTGTTGGCATATTCCATTCAGCATGAGGTAACATGCTGACGTAACATGACGTAGACTGTTAGCAGAAAAACACCCCCAGACCATTACATTGCCTCCACCATGGTTCACGGTCTTATATTAGTAACATAAATTGAGGCGTTTTCCGGCCGGTCGACGTACACGGAAAATGCCATCGCTCCCAATGATGTTGAACTTCAATTCATCACTGAACAGGACAGTTCGCCATTTCTGCACATTCCAGTCAATATGAGATGTAGCAAACAGGAGTCTTTTCTTCGGGTTCTTTAGTGAAATCAGCGGTTTCTTTGCAGGGCGTCGAGAAAACAATCCGGCTTCAACATCACGTCGTCTAATTGTTCATTCCGATACATACAACACAACGTCTTGGTTGGATGTGGACTGTATTGATGTAATGAAACACTTGTTGTATTTCACTTTTTGTATTGATGTTCTTTGATAAAGCTCACTTCGATAAACTGTCTTGATAATACTGACTGATTGACTTCCATATACTGACTGAATTACTTGTCGGTTTACATGTCTCTTATATAGTAAAATGAACCTGTGTAAACCTGTTCTGGAAGATTCTAGATGCTTCTTTTCAATGCTTCTGGAATATTCTGGATACGTCTGGATGCTTCTGAATGTTTTGGATACTTCTGGAGGCTTCCAGATGCTTCTTCTGGAAACATCTGGATGCTTCTTCATGCTTCTGAAAACTTTTGGATACTTCCTTTAATTATTAAAAAAAAATTCCGTGGCGTATATATATATATATATATATATATATATATATATATATATATACATACATACATACATATATATATATATATATATATATATATATATATATATATATATATATATATATATATATATATATATATATATATATATATATATATATATATATATATATATATATATATATATATATATATATATATATATATATATATATATATATATATATATATATATATATGTATGTATGTATGTATGATATATATAAGCATATATTTAAACAAATTATAGAATTATTCAAAATCCAACTAAAATATATATATTTTTTTAAATTACTTTTTCAATGAAAATTTTATAAAATAGTTTTTGGTATAAAAATTATTACAATTACATTCGTAGGTTCACTAGTTTAAATTGCTATTTGCATTTTGAATCCCATCTTATTAAACACAAAAAACCGTATAACCTATAGCAGTATAGTTTACCCTGCTCAATCAATATAGTGTGAACACAAATTAGATCACCGGAAAAAAATGACACAAAAGTGCTTTAAACCAATGGTATACATCCATTTTTTTCGAAAGATAACTTTCAAAATCTGTCAAAACGTAGAAAAAAACGTTTCAATAGAAATATGGAATTGTTATAAATAAATGCAAAATAAATGTAATTGTTCTAATTAAGGCGCTGTTCAAATTACGGCAACTCTCCATGAAAAAGTTTATGAAAGTATTTCAAGTAAAAAAATTGGGTGCATGACTTTTTTTTTTTTATTGTTATTATTTAAACAAAAAAATAATACTGTGATACAGTTTTAGTTTTTTCAAGTTTAAAAGGGTCATATTTTTCATCTCACCGGTACCAATTCTACTTAGATAATGCTCTACATGCATAATTTTGCAAGCTTTGTAGTTTGACTTGTTTTGTGTGTACTAACCCATACTATACCATGGCCGACGATACGGGTTTCGAAATGGAGGGGCACAACAGTCTATTTCTTAAAAAAGGCCCTCTATATGTAGATTTTTCTCTTAAAAAAAAAAGGTTTCTTTAGAAAAAGACCATTTTAAAAATGGTCCTTTTCTAAAGGACAATTTTTTAAATGGTCCTTTTCTAAAGAAAAATAGGGGAGAAAGGCTTGTGCTCCCCCCGCCCCCGGCGTTGTTGGCCCTGTATATTAGCGTAAAAGAGGTGACTATAAATTAAACTAATGTAAATCTTTTTTAGTGAAGTATAATCAAAAAATGTGCGAGGTTTATATAACTATTGTAGCTGGTATTTTTTATTTGATGCGCGTAATTATGCGTTATTATTTCAATCTTTATTTAAATTAGAATCTTACTAATTTTACTAAATTTGAATCTTACTAATTCGGTCTTGTTTTTATTTAAATTTTGTAGTTTATTAAATATTTAAAACTTGAATTTTCCTAAAAATATTTATTTTATATACTTATTCGAAACACTTTGTTTATTCATTTTTTATGCTTTTGTTTTATATTTTCAAAGTTTAAATGTTTAAAACTATATTTAATCAACTTTCTGTTTGCATAAATGATGTTTACAGGACAACTTAAAAATACATATAAATATATATTCTTAAACTTTATATTTGTCACGAAAACGTTTAAAAATTTATAAGTAAAAGAAATTTTCTAAATTAAAAACATTAATTAAAGGCTTCAAATTTTAAATAAAAAACTAAATTTATTAAATTAATGAGTTAAATTTGTTAAACTAATAAAGCCCTATCATAAAAAAAAATTATTATAAGTTTAGTTACTATAAATGCTATTAAATATTGTACGTGTTTCGAAAAACTGATTTCTATTCATTGCAAGTATTTTAGTTAAATGTACTCTTTTGTTTTTAACGAACCAATCGTACGACTTTAGCGCGAAGGGTAGGTCGTCAATTCTACGCATGCTCAAACACTTAAGAAGCAGTTAAGGGAAAGTCGAAATGTTGAAAATAGGATTTTGTTTGCAATATGGATTCGTTTTTAGCTTTTATATGCTACAAAATATTTAAATAAATTATTAAATTTTGTTGCTGCTAATAAAATATTTACTTTATTGCAATCTTCTTGTTTTCTTTGTTATTGCAGTGAAAAAAAAAATACAAAAAAATACAAAAAAAAAAAAAGAACCGAAGGTTTTACAAGAACCATAAGTTTTGTTGGCTCTTTTGGGCCATTTATCAACGTTTTCAAGTCCGTGTTTTTTGTAATCTTTAAAATTTTATCGTTGTTTTTATACTAAACATTAGTTATTGATATTGAACTATTTAACCATGGCTAGTACAGAGTCAGATCGGTTTACTTCAAGGTTTAAGAGAGATGTTCCGGCAGCAAGCACCGCCATTAATAGACCCATTGGTACAAGAAGGCGGGCATTTGAAGATGCTGCCAACGAGACAAGCAATCCTAGCCCAAGTACTAGTATTACACCTAGAAGTACTGTTTCAAGTAGTGTAGGTGTAAGTTCAAGTAGAGGTGCAGTAAGTCGTTCTTCTAATCAAAATACTTCAGCAGCAGTTTCTCCAAGTAAACAAGCAGATGATGAAACATCAATAAAAGACAGAATCAGTAAAATTTCAGTTAAAGATGAAGACTGTGACAAAGATGAAGATGAGGAGCCAGAAGAAGAAGCTCCATCTTCAAGACCTAGACCAAAAGGAGGTGCTAGTGCAGGTTCATCAAATAAACGTAAACAAAAAAAAAATATAAGAGAGAAAAGAAAGTCTACAGGAGTTGTAATAATGCCAGGACAACCGGTATGTATTTATCTGGTTTTAAAATAAATTGTTAAATTAGGTTTTCAATTGTATATATAATACACATGCAGATTAAAGTAAAAAATTTTAATTTAAATGCATATACATTTATATACTACTGTGGATTTAGGTATGCATCTGTGTATACTTATAATGTAGAGATGCCTATATTTGAGAGATGCCATATATCATGCCAATGCTTATTGATATTGGCTAAAACAAATGCATTGGCATCGGTCCTATATCCTATATTTATAGTCTATAGCTAAAATGTTATTTAAACAATTTATAAACTATACTCTAGATTTAAAAAACACCTAGTTCTAAATTTATAATCTAGGTTTGTTTATTGCTTTTAAATTGTTGGTATTATTTTATGTTTGTTTACAAAAAAGACAAGATGTTTAAAAAAATGATGTCCTCAAAAATAGTTACCAAGGTAGATGCCGATGCATTAAATGACTGTTACATTGCCTGAATACATATTTTTAGTTATGAGTTATTATTTTTATGATATTACTATTAACTTTTAAATTCAATTTAGTTACTATTTATGTATATAATTTGGTTACTATTTGGTGTATATAAATATTTTTATAAAAAATGGTTGTGGGTTTATAGGCTATAAAAGTTATTTTGTGATTGTGGTTATAAGTATTATTATTAGTGGTAGCATTTTGTACATGTGATAATACTTATTATCAATTTTAAACATTCTTAGATGCTTTATTTATTTTAGTTTTTTTTAGTCAATTTATTTTTGTTTTTTCTAAACAAAACCTAAAAGTTTTAATAACAGCTTTACGTAGCTGTAATGATTTTAGCTCAATGTGATCGTAAAAACATAATGGTTATGGCTTATAACAGTAATATATAACATAAATTATAACAGTAAAACAAAAAGATCTTTAATTTTTTAGATTTAAAAATTTAGTAATCTCTTTAAAACTTTTTTTTTTTTATCATGAAAATGAAAGTTGTTTCTTGTACATATTTACAGTAAATAACAAATGATCTATGGTATTTGTAAAATGTTGTATGTATTACTTATAAATTACACATTTTTCGGATTTATCAGATAATAAATGTATCAAAATAACATAAACTAATATTTTTCATAATATTTAGTAATGGCTAATGAAAAGAGCTTTAAATGAATAAAACTAAGTGAATAAAAAGCGATATCCTTAATTTTTTAATATTTTTTAATATTAATATAATTTTTTAAAATCTTTTTTAAAAAAAAAATTGAAAGCCTTCTTGACTAGATTGGATCTCAGCCTCTTAGATAAGTTGTGTGTATATGTAATTGTGTGTAATTTGAATCTTTATTTAATTAAACTTATTAAGATTTAAATCATATTTTTCATTAATATTAAAGTATTATTTTAAATGATGTTTTAAACCTCATTTTATATATGCTAAAACTATTTTGCAACTATTATACATTATATGTTTTTTTAATACTAATTAAGTAGATGGGGTTTAAAATGTTTAATTTATGATAGTTTAGTTAAGAATTATATGCTTTCAATATTTTTAAGAGTTATTGCTCAAAATGAGTTTGTTAGGGCTAACAATAAAATAAATATTTAGCAAAAGCCAAGTAAAATATAATTAGGGTGCCAGATAAAAGTATTTATAATAAACTTCATTTTATTTTTAAATTTCATTTTTATATTTTTTGGCTTTTTCACTGATTTTTAGTTGTTTCAACTCCTATAGAATGATATTAAAATCAGCATGACAATCGAACACAATAAAATAAAATTTTAAACATGTTCAATTGAATGACTAAAATATGAGTTAGCGTAATTGTAAAATTTTAAACATGTTTAATTGAATGACTAAAATATGAGTTAATTGTAAAAACAAAGAAACTAGTTAATATTTAAAAATTTTTGCAAGTTATTTTATAAACAAGACTGAATGCAAGGTGGGTCAGTTGTCATAAAAAGGTTAAAAATAAAAATAATGTCTGCACACAGGTATGGGGAGGTTTTTACCCAAAAATGTATGAATGCATACAAGAAGGGGCAGTGTAACTGACAGCAAGTACATACGTAGTCTCTCTTTCTACATCTCTCTTCAAACTCTTCTTTTTTAATTAAAGCATTGAATTTCACAATTTAAAAAAAATCAGTATTATGTTATGAAACAGAGAAAAGTTAAATTAACTATAAGTTTAATGTTTTGAAAAATTTATGCTTTTGGAAACAAAGGCTTGATTTTGCAATAAATAATGCGTTCCTTTGTAAAGGGAGGGGGTCATTTAAAGTGTAAAGGTATGTGCGATTGGGGAAGGTCCTAAATCAGTTGTTTAACTGCATATGTATTTTATGGATGCCCCTTGTTTATTGATATATATATATATATATATATATATATATATATATATATATATATATATATATATATATAATATATATATATGTATATATATATGTATATATATATGTATATATATATGTATATATATATATATATATATATATATATATATATATATATATATATATATATATATATATATATATATATATATATATATGAACAAAAAATATAATTTTAATTAAGTATTTGATAATAAAACTATTGTAAATGTAAGTTAAAAGTCATAAAGCTTGAATGAGCTATATTGAAACTAATTTATAAATTAAAAAAGTAAAATTTTAAAAAAAAAGTTCTTTTATTTAATTTTTTCTAATAAATAAAAGAATATTTTAAGCTGAACAAAACCTTTTATTATTTAAGTCAAATGTTTATGTTCAAAATTATTTACCCTAATCAAGTAAATAAAAATTGTTTTTGTAAAATATCCAAGTATCAATATTTAATACATTAAGATAGATACAGTTATGGTATAAAGTATAAACATAAATATACAATATAAGTAAAATATATAATAATATTGTACAATAGATTTATAAATTATAACAAAAGTTAGAAGTTGTTTAAATAGCATACTTCAAATACTTTAAAATAAATCTGTGTAGTTAAATTCCAACATTGAATTAATAATTTTTTGAAACTGATAAAAATATTTGTTAATAAATCTAATAAATTACACTTAACAATAATAATAATTATTATTATTTTGAACAATTTTGTTAAAAAATTATAGCACAAAAAATAAATATTAAGTTGATATAAAAATTAATATTTTTTATTTTCAATTGGATAGCACACTAATCATCATAATATATTATATCAGGTTTCTGATTTTATTCTGGGATATTAATTTAGCATATTTTATGTATCATTTAAAAAAAACTATAATTTATTTATAGTTTTTGTGGTATTTATTAATAAATAGGAACTAAAAAACTGTATTGCATTAAAAATTTAACTTGTTGCTTGTTACTTTTTCAGAATGTTGCAAGAGATGAAGAAGAACGTATTGTAATGGAGAACACAGCAAGAAATATGCAAGATTATTCTGTGAGTGTTTTTAAACATTCTTAATTTTGAAAGGTTGATTTAAACAACATTGTTGTGTTCATGATAATAAAATAAAGTTCAAATCTAGTTGAATATACTAAACTTTAGTCACAAACAGTAAAAAAAAAATGCATTTTTTCACCTTATTTCTTACCATTTCTTACAGTTTTTTAAACATGTTTACTATTGAGTGAATGCAAAAATAATTAGACTCTTGATTTTTTATTATTAAATGATAAGTAAATGAAACCTTCAAAATTATATATGCTCTATTATTGTCTGACTGTTTGCCAACATACAAAGAATGGAAGCCTTGGTCTTGTTTTTAAAAGCTTCATTGCCTCGATCATTGTAAAGCAAACAAAACAAGTAATAATTAGTTGTGTATAAGTCTAATTAAAACACTGGGTGATGTGTAATAACTCCCTTTTAAATTTCAATAGTTTTTGCTGATTCAACTTTACATTGTCTTAGAGACATTTTGTGTTACTCTGGACAATTAGTTTAGAGTTTTTGTTAAAGTTTTTAAAGTTAAGCACAGTAGATCTCTGCCAAGATCTACTGTGTAGACAGTTGTATTGCTAAGAATCTGTTTCCAGTATAGTATATATCCCCCACCATACTGAAAGCATTATTTTATTTTTTATTTCACATCTTAATTTGTATTTTTGAGATTCAAATCATAAGGAACCCCAGTATCTAGATTTAATTCAAGCTGATTCAGACTATATGAAATAGTGGTATGGCAACGTCCAAGAGTACTTACCAAGCAAATTGTGGTTTGCTCTCAACTGATTTAAATAGCAACTGATTTAAATAGCAAAGATCCAACTCTAGAGGTTGTTATTATTTTCTAATTATCAAAATACTTGAATTCGATTACATAACATGTGACACAGTGGTCTGAGCTATTTCCCCACTAATATTTTGAGTGACTTCTCTAGAGGAATGACCCATTTGTTGTTAATATATCAGGCAATGCTGTATATGCTTTTATGATTTCTGTATTTGGTTTTAACATTTTAAAGTGTTATTAGAAAATAAAAACTTGGATTTTCTAATCTTAAAATTGAAGAATCACAAAATTAATCTTACCAATAATTGTTTAGTTATAGTTACAATTGACATTACAAGTTACATTTTTATAAACAAAATTTTGAATAATTAACAAGTTCATTGAAGTTTTATGTATAATAATTTTTATATTTTTATTGTATAATAATTTTTATATTTTTATGACTTAATTTGAGCAATTATAAATAAGCAAAATTCATAACAAACAGATGTTAAAATATTATAACAGGCCTTTTTACGAGATTTTGTTGCATAATGTAAATATTTTAATCATTTTAATTCTTTATAAAATATCTTTAAATTAAACAAAATTGTTATAAAAAAATATTTATTAAATATCTCTAAATCAAACAATATAGTTCTTTATAAAATATCTTTAAATTAAAAAATATTGTTTTAAAAAAAGTCATCAATAAAATTTAAATATGTTAAATATTATATTAAGATTATTATTTTAAAAAATTTATACTTATTTATACTTATACTATATATTTCTTAAAACATTTGTCTTGTTTGCTTTCTCACAATTTATTTGTTTTTGTTTTTTAATGAGGTCAAAAAAATAAATAAAAACTATCAACATTTTTTTATATAATATTTTGGCTTTAACAAAATTTTTACACACTACTCATAAACTAGCTAATCATTTCTAATAGACATTTATTCTATGATCAATCAAAAAAGTTAATGATAAAGAAAAAAACTTTTGTTAAAAAGCAATTTCGAAACTAAAAAAATCATCTTTTCATAAATTTCACAAATTTTTATAAATTTTCATAAATTCTCCAATTATTTTTAACAAAATTAATAATTTTGCTTACATGCTTGATTATGGTTTATTCGGCAATGCCTTATATACAGATATAAGTGCATTAATAATACTATAAATAAATAAATGAAATAGTTGAATGTAAAGCGAACGTTTCAAAGTAACTGGAATTTTCTTTAAAATTTTTAAATTATATATAAAAATATATATAAAATATATATATTTTATAAATATATAAATATATTATTAAATATAATATTATAATAAATATATTATTATTAAATATTATAATAAATATATTATTATTTTATTATTATTTATATATATATAATATAATATATTATATATAATATATAATAAAATATAATATATAATATATATAAAGTATAATATATAATAAAATATAATATATAATATATATAAAATATAATATATAAATGTAATATATATATATATATATATATATATATATATATATATATATATATATAATATAATATATTATTATATTAAAAATTAAATATTATGATAAATATATTATTATTAAATACTATAAAATATATAAATATATTATATATTAAAATATGTAAATATATAAAATTATAAATATATAATATATAATATATATATATATATATATATATATATATATATATATATATATATATATATATATATATATATATATATATATATATATAAAATTAAAAATTAAAATTAAAAAGAATCTTCTTTAAAATACTTTGCTTAATCTCTGAAATGTTACACTGAAATAGCCTGCTACGGAGTGCTTTAATACATCCATCGACTATCTTATAGCCTGCTGCTGCAATGACATGCAACCCCATGCTTGTTATGCAATTTTCACTTTATTTCAAAAATTACCATTTTGAGTTTTTCTTGGATTTGTTTTATTGGATAAAACAATGCTTTTCTTTTATATATTAATTTGCTAACTTCCAACAATATTGATATTACCGTTATAGTCATTATAAAACATTGTAACTTTAAACAATATTGAAATTACCATTACAGTCATAAAATATTGTAACTTGGAAAAGTAAAACAAATCAAAATCAATATAAAATGTATTTATGTTATTACTTGTATAATAGTATAATTTAACATATATGAGTTTTTTCAAGGAATTTCTGAAATTCCGTAAATTCACTTGAACTCCTTTAACTTTTCCAAAAATTTCCTAGTGTTTTTTGCCTATGATTTGTGAAAAAAATTGTTTATTTTTTTAGTCAAATTTTTTATAAGTTTATCAGTTTAAAAATCAGTATTTAAAAATCAATATTTATCAGTTTAAAAATCGCACATTTTTTTTTAAAAAGAAATAAAACAATTGTTATGTTACTTTTACTTACATTACTTTTGTAAAACAAAAATATTTTCCAAGTTAGTTTGTCTTTTAATCTTGTGTATAACATATTTCTAGTATTTACGTTCTCAAACACAATGTAAATTATTCACAAAATACAAAGAGTAAAATCTTTTTTAGGTTAACGAGTTTTATTGTGTATTATTTTTGTTGAGTGTTTTAAAGATACAAAATTTTTTTATGAGTAAAGATTGCATAAAAGGCGATTTTAGGGGGAGAGTGTTGAGGGATGTTCCACCCTCTCCGAAGAAGGTGATTTTCTATTAATAGTCAGTTTTTTGACGAATTTAGCTGGTTAGCTGGGTATTTCAACACGATTCAGTAGGGTGAATTTTAGTTTTTAGGACTTTTTTTTTAAGGAACCAATTAGTACTTTTTAAGGATTCACCCTTCTCTCTTCTCTTCCCTCTCTCCCTCTCTCCCCCTCATTTTATTAGTAGAATCACCTCTGATTGCATTTAAATTTTTTAAAAATTTAAGAGAATTTTTTATGTATAAAGATTGCATTTAAATCAATTCATAAAAGGTATATGTTATAAATGTTATAAATGCACTAGCTGTGTTAGATTATTTTAATTTATCTAAAAATGACATTAATAAACACGATTGATCTGAATGTTCAGTAAAATAATAGTAAATTAATTTGCTTGGTATTATACTTATAAAATATAAATACGCACGCACAAATTGCCCACTTGGCAGTAGTGGTTGAAAATACAGTATATAAATGTATACCATATTTTTCACTTTTAGCCATTTTAAAGAATAGCATAATTTTTTAATTTATTGGTTTATAAAATCAAAGAGCCCTAGCAAGGTTGCAGTAAGTTCAAGTCTTAAAAGCACTTATTTAAATATAGTGGCAGAATTTATAACCTCAAATCATTAGCTCTTTATTTTTATTGCTAACTATATTTTTAAATAGTTCAAAATTAACAAAAAAAAACATCTTTTCTTTCATTAATCAATAATGTCTTTAAGTCAAAAAAAAATTTGAAAAATACTGTAAATATTCAATCAAGTATTTTTATGTATAATTTTACAGTTTTCAGTAACTTATGGCCAATTTAATAGATATTAAATAATGCCCCATTCCTTCAAGAGGTAGGGGTGCAAGTTATGTTTAGCCTTGAATGAAGCTTTCTACGGCAATAAACATCAATATGCTTAGCAAATAACATGATAAAAGAGTTTTTAAAAATTTTAAAAACATATTAACATAGTTGCTACTTATAGTTATAATAAAAAAACTTGACAAAATACAGAGAAAAGTGTTTTTCAAAGGGGGCTTTCTAAAATTTTTATAATCTGCTTCACAATTTTATTTCATATTTAAGCAGTTGGCCATAACAACTCCCTAAATAAGATAAAGTTTTACCCATTAAATATAAAATAACTTATCTTATTTTTTGAAAGTTTCCTGAAGTTTTCTGCAAAATTTACTGAGTTGAAAGTTTCTGGGTAATTTTCAACCCTAGTTTTTTTGATGGTTTAAATTCAGCATATGTTCTTTATTTAAAAATATTTTTCTTTTAACCTGGAGTCTACAAATTTGAATGATCATATTAAAATGCTTTACTTTGGTAAAACTAAACCATAGGTTTTAAAATGTATCCGCTGTATCAGAACATTTTAAAAACTGCCATGGTGCCTTTAGGTGGAATAAAAATTTTAATATTAAGGTTGAAAAATAGTGAGAAGAGAGCCGTGGAAGTGTCAATACTCAGTGTAGTTAAGGAGAGATCCGAAGGAAAATATAGTGTTTAGTTCCTTTCGCTTTCAAAAAATGCTATTTTATTTTGTGTGCATTTTGATTGGTTTATTTTTTTAAAAAAAGTCACGAAGCTCGTTGTTTTGTTGTTTACAAATATTCGGTGATTTTATTATCTACGAGTTTGAAGTTTTAGCTTAATACTATAGGGCAGAAGTTGTATAAAAACTGAAACGTTTTTGTTTAGTAATTTATTCAAATGACTATAAAAAGGTTATTGTAGTAAATTGCAATGAGTGGAAATTAATGTGAAAACTTCAATTTTAATGTTTTTACTGTTTACGAAAAGATAAATTAAGAGGTTTTTAGTCATTTATTTGATATTTTAAAGCTGTAAACAAGAAGTCATTTTACTTTCGAATAAAAGAGACATTTTTGGAATGTAAATACTTAACACATTTGTTTAAGCTATTTTTATGATGCTGCCCTGTTGCTTTTTATGTATTTTAGTGGTAGTTTTGTTTTGCTTGATGCTTTGGTTAAAAAAAGATTTATAAAAAAATAATAAATTATATAAGATAAGCTTAAATTCTACTTTTTAAAAATATATAACAGTAATAGTCGAAATTAAGCAGAAAAAGAAGTTTATAAGTGTAAACTTTTTAAGTGCACTTGTTTTATTTTAAAAATAACTTTAATACAAATTGGCTTTCATAGGCATAGTTCCAGGTTTATTATATTTTTACCACCTGTATATACAATAACAAAAATTATCACTAATTGAATAATATTCAAATATCACTATGATCAGGTGCTTTGTCAGAAAAAATTGTTTTATATTTTTCTTATCGCACTGTAATGTCTTTTATTTAAAAAAAATAGTTGCAAAAATAAACAACCAACAAGTACTCGATTATTAGTATTTAATTTGTAAGAAAGTATGTTGCAACTGTATTTTAATATCAACTATGATATTTCCTTATTTTTTTTAAATAGTTACATTGAATGATTATTAAGTAAAATTTTTATTAGTTAAACAATGAAATTGTGTTAACTTTTTGAAGGTATTTTTAACAGCCATTATTTTATACTTGAGTTTAATTGTTAATGTTTGTTACTTTGTATTTTGAGGTAATCAAGTCAAACTTTTGAATAATATCTATATTTTAGTTATTTAAATTAAAGTTATCTATATTTTTATCTATACAATATCTATATTTTGATTATTTAAATTATTTTTGAATAAAAATTTTGTTAATATGCACACCAACAATATTTTACAATTTGTTTTTTTGTTTTTCTTTTTTACGTTAGGGTGTTGATGGCGGAAGGTACAATTTAATTTATTTTTTTAATTAAAATTATTTGACTTTTTTTTTTAAAAAAAATTTGTTTTTCAATAATAGATTAAAAAAATTAAAGCTAATATTAATCTAGGATTGTAATAATGAGATTTAATTTTTTTTATTGTAGCTCTGGAGAGGACAGAGAAGAACTACTTAAACAAATTGAAAAGTATGAACAGGCTATCGAAGATTGGAAAGATAACTTAGCTCAAGCAAAGCGAGTAAGTTAAAAAATTGTTAATATAAAGGGTTTGTTTTTTTTTTTCATTTTTAAAAAATGCTTTCTAATAAATTCTTAATAAATTTTTGTCATTAATAAAAATAATTAAAACTAATAATATTTATTAAAAGAATTCATAGCTTTTTGTCAAACATACACTATCACTTGTTAATAATAGCTTATTAAAAAGCACTCTAAATTCTAAAATAGTCTCAAAATGTTATAAATCTATTGTCTTCCAAGTATATAAAGCCTATACAAAAACTAAACTATATAGTTACAAGGTTAAAATTAAGTGATGGCAAATTGTGATAATGGGAAATATTTCTGGTTCTCAAATTCTCAGTTTATTAAAAACTGTGAATTGTTTCAATGAAACTGTGAGCTGTTTTAATGAAACAGTCATATTTCTCATCTTTCTTTCATTTTATATGTGTTTAAACTCATCTGTCTTTCATTTTATATGTGTTTAAACTCATCTGTCTTTCATTTTATATGTGTTTAAACTCATCTGTCTTTCATTTTATATGTGTTTAAACTCATCTGTCTTTCATTTTATATGTGTTTAAACTCATCTGTCTTTCATTTTATATGTGTTTAAACTCATCTGTCCTTCATTTTATATGTGTTTAAACTCATCTGTCTTTCATTTTATATGTGTTTAAACTCATCTGTCTTTCATTTTATATAAGTAAGTGCCTTAGAAAGTTGTGAGCATTTAGTTGAAAGTTATATTTGATTTATAAGAAAATATTGAATAACTTTTAAATAAGATATAAAATTTTTTTTCTTTTTCTCTCGGAATTTCTTATATTTAGAATATTTGATCACCGCTAAATTCCTTTAGAGAATTGTGATTTGCGGGGGGGGGGGGGGTAATACTACTTGTACTGTATGCTTTATTTTTCTAGTTTTATCTGATGATTTATCTAATGAATTAAAATATTAAAGTTTAAATCATAATTTTTAACAATAATAAAAATAACAGTAATAACTTAGTTTTATCATAAATTCAAGATCAATATAAATATTTTTTATTGAATAAAAACTATTGAGTTAAGTGACAAAAACAGAGTTTACGGTTTTTAAAAAGCTAAAAATTTAAAGAGCAGAAACATTTTCAGATATCATAATTCACAATCACTTAATTTGAACCTTGAGCTATTACTGCACAAATTATGTTTTATTTTACAATTAATTTTTATTATATTTTGTAATAGTTTGTAAATAATAGTTTTATATTATTGTTAATTAGTATTTAATCCAGTATTTAATTATTGTTAAATGATGTAAATGTTTTTTGTTTTTTTTTTTGTTTGTTTTTTTTTTGGTATAAATCTTTTTTCGTTCTAAACATCAGTTTGTTTTCTTTGTTTGTATAACCTCTTTTACAGATTTTTTTTTCAGTTAGTGTTCTGTGCAGATTTCAGTTAGTGTTCTGTGCAGATTTCTTGCACTGCATATAATAAAATAAATATATCTTAAAATATTTGAAAATGGTAAGTTAAAATCATTTTCTTCAAAGCAAGATAATGCTTAATTTTTTTTTTTATGCTTACAAAATTAGTTACTCTTCAAATGACTTAATCTCAAATGTTGTTTCTTAATTTTCTTCGTATATGCTTTGTTTGCCTTTTTTGACTCAGGATAATATGTTTTTGAAATTATTTTTTTCTGTTTTGCACAAATCATAATTTAATACTATGTCCTAGGAAAAGGCAAAATTCTTTCCTAAGGCTTTTTCTTAATTCGTCTTTTGATGGCAGCTCTATTAATGACACCTGTCAGCTCTATTAATGACACCTTATCTTCCAACTTAGTTTTGCTTATTCTTTTTTTTTTTTCTTCATTTTCTTTTATTGCTCTGAAAAATTAGTACATTGTTGTTTAAATAATATTAGTAGTAATAATAATAAATTATAAAAAAATAATAAGAATAATAAAAGTAATAATAATTAAAAACATGAAATAACTAACATTATAAAATATTTTTTAAACAGGAAATCGAGACACTTAGAAATGAAAACACCCGTTTAAAAGATGAAAATAGCGCATTGCTTCGTGTGGTAGGTTCCTTGTCACATGGAGGGCGTAAATAGAAGATCAATTGGTGATATCGAATATATAAAAAATTAAATGGATGGTAAGCCAAGATATGAACAAATTTTTCTATAAAACAAAAAGTTTTCTTTTTGTTGTGTTTATTTAATATCGCACCTGTAGAGACAAGCATCTGCTTGATAAATCATCCACAGAACATCCATTTTAAGTACCATGTTACCTGACAGACAATTAATGCTAACATGCTGTTCAGGTTTATACTGCAGGGAATTTGTATGTAGTTTTTATTAATTTATATTTTCTATTTTGTACTCGACTAAATTTGGTATTGATAGGACAACTTTTTGGATTTATGTTTGAAATTGTTTCAACATTTTTGATTTTTTTCTGTTTTTTTTTTTTTTTTTTTTTTTCAATAGCCTCGTGTTTTTTCTATTTATGACAATTTTTCTCCAAAATACTTTTTCTTTGTTAATTTTATTATTTTCAAATCAGTTTTGGCTTTTTACTAAAGAGAAATTTATTTCAATCAAATGTAAAAGGAATGTTTTTAGTGCATTTTTTATTGTGTAAACTTGGCTTTTTAATTCCTTTTTTCTGAAATGATTTGATATCGTGATATTTTGTAAACAAAATTTTGCACTTAAAATTCCTGCAAGTAATAAAAAACTTGATATTTGTTTAAATGTTCATATTTATTTTTAATCTTATCATTAGTTGAACATTCAATTTTTTTTACATAATTTTTAATTACATTATTAATGGAAAATTAATTAAATTATCTTTTACATTATATTTACATTTACATTGCAATTCATTACATTTTTTTATTTGTTCCCTTCATCATATTTTATATTAATTTGTTCATTGCATCATATTTGTCAATATTGTAATTTGTTCATCGCATATTTGTATATCATGTTTATCATCATTTTCGTCGATTACATCAATCATCAAATGTTGAGATAATATAAAAAAAGGAAAAAATTATTAAGAAAATTCCATGTTATTTTATCATTATTAAAACGTACTAGATAACGCCCCTATTGATTTTTATGTTAATTTGTTAAATCACCGAATATAAATAAAATACAGATAAAGCGATGCAGTAAATTTTAAATTGATTTTTTTTAAATAGCTTTTTAAGAATCTTAAATTACCTAATTTCTTACCTCCTAAATCCTAATGGTGCTTAATAGTCCAACCCAGTATTTTATGTCAAAAACTAAACAGTATTTTGGCTACGCTGCACTTAATCCCAGTTAGGGGGCATCCATTAAGTACGTTCCCAGTAAAACCACTGATTTAGGACCCCTTCCCCCTTGTATGAACCTGTACGCTTTCAAAGACTCCCTCCGCTTACGTACGCATTATTTTTTTTCAAAATAAAATCTTCTTTTCCCTAATGCGTAAATATTTAAAAACATTAAAAACAAAAATAACATTTTTTTTTTTTTTTTTTTTTCATATTTCTCTGTACTTAATTAAACTTAATAAAACTTAACTTAATAAAAATGTTAAATAAATAATGTACTTATTTAAATCTTAAAATGTTACAACATATTTTTAGAGTAATGATAAAAACCATTTTGGGTACATCAATTTAAAAAAAAGAATTTAAAAAAAGTTCATTTGCTTCTCATCTCGTTACCAATCAAATAACGTTGCAAAAAATAAAAAATATTTTGAACGATTGTTGCTCGATTTCTTTTTTCTCTCCTCATTAATAAAAAAATAAAATTGGGACTGAAGTCAAAAAAAAAAATACAATTCTGATTTGTGAAACACGTGAATTTCAATGTTTTAAAAGTTTAGAAGGGATAGTCGAACCGCGTACGTACTCACTGTCTTTAACACCACTCAACCCCCCCCCCTGTACGCGTTCGTACACTTTTGGTAAACCACCCCCTTCCTCATACCTGCGTGCGTACTTAACGTTTTCGTTATCAATTCCGCACACAACAACGTAAAGCAATCCACCGCTAAACTAAACATTTCAACCAACCTAACTAATAAATAAAATTAATTAATTTTGCAATGTTATCAACAAAAAAATACTAATAAACTTACTTTTTTTAGCAAAAAAAAATTTGATTTAGCTAAAAACATTTAATGCTCTTGTATAATAGTTTTTCTTGTTTAATTACAGTCCGGAAAGATTAACTGATTTAATCATGTTACTTAAGAGATTTTTAAAGTAAAAAAATATTCTGGCTACCTTTTTAGTAAGATAAGACACTTCAATTCATTTTTACGTCTGTGAACTGTATATTATAACCGACTGAGTCTCAATTCTCCTAACATTTTTTTAATTTATTGTAATAAAAAAAAGTATATAATAAAACTTGCTTTAATGTTCAATAAGGAAAACTATCGGTTTACAATTCTTTATTACTGGTAAACTAAATTGATCCAGAAAATAGGGAAAAAAACTCTGGTTTTCTAAATTTTTTTTATTTGCACAAAAATGAATATATGATATTCTATGCAAAAATTATTTTAAAACATTCAATGGTTCTCGAATTGATAACCTATTTCTCTTTATAGTAAGGGTATGACGATTGAGTTTATATATATATAAATTGTTGAGATAAGTCATGATAATAAATAATAAAGAAAACAACTTATTCAGCTTTGCCTTAAATACCCACTTTATTCACTCTTACGTTAAACACATGACTTACCCTTATCTCTAGTATTTTGTTAAATGTAATATTTTTCCTAATGCATTTTCAAAATATCGTGCCCAATGTTTTAAGGTGCTGTTTGCAGGAAGTAGCTTCTTTTAGTTATTTTTGGTCAGGTCGGGTTCAGGATCATCACGGTCACCCTGCTACTGGTATTATGTAGCCAGTATAATCTGCCCCATGGCCTGCTGCCTTGTAAAGTGTGCTTTTTTAGGCAAAGGCTAGGAGAAACAAACTACGGCTTAAACATCACTTGCCTTGGGGCTCTTGGTTAAGTAAAGGCTTACTATAAAAAGAAATAGGTTTAAAAAAATGGTGTCTCGATCAAAATATTCATCTTGGCTAGATGTTAACTGCATTCAGCTACTGTTTTGTAGGAAGGGTGCTAGGCAAATACTTTAGGGGTAAGCAGAATAATTCTGCTAACCAGCCTCAAACCTCTTTATCATCTATTAGTTTAGCATCTAGTAGATGTAAACCTGTGTTACATTGTTTCCTGTCTCGATCTTCTAGACAACTAGATTTTCTTGATTCTTCTCGTTGGTTTTTGCTTGTGCCTACTTGATAAGGCTTCCTGTTATCTTCTAAGGAGGTTACAGCTCTAAAACTCAAATAGTTCTGAGGCTGGCTGGTAATAAGGTTTCCTGAACTCTGTGGTAGCTCTCAGAGAAGCTGTTTTCATCAACAGCTTCAAAATATCGGAGTATTAACAGAGCCATGTTGGGCATGGGTGGTCCCCACTGTTAATGCATTTGGTGCGCATTGTCGAGGCCACATAAGGAGCCCTATGTTACGATTTAGGGTTAATTAACAGAAATTATTTAATATACTGTTTTAACATATCTTTTACTATTTACTTCGTGGTCTGCGAAGCAATCTTCCATCAGTTAAATTTTACTTTTTGTAAATTCACGAGACTAGCTTGCTCTTAGTGAGACAAATTTAAATTCTGTCATTCCTTCTTCTGATCTCAGTGTTGATGATTACTATCCTTTGATTCACAAAGATTTTAATAGTCACATGCTTGGCTTGGGGGTATACATACGCATCAATTCATCTATTTGTCATAAAACCAGGTTCGAATTTTTTTTCCATTCTTTTATGTGTTTCCGCTTAGCACCTCTTCACTCTATCACTTTTTTCTTTGTTTTTTATCATACTCTTTTTTCCCAAGACTGCACTCTTTTAGATGTAGTTTCTGATCAAACTGACCATGTCTTCTCTCTTTACCACTCTGCCAATATTTTTGTTATTGGTGACTTTAATGATCCTAGCTCTCCTTTTTCTCCTTTAGGTGGTTCTGACCATGCTATGATCTCTTTAAATCTTTCATTTTGTACTTCCTTTTCAGACTAGTTGAAAAATGCATCTCCTACATAACCTCCTGGATTCAGGTAGAAATGGAACCTTTTATTCCTTCTTGTTAGTTCAAAGTAAAGCCTCATTCCTCTCCATGGTTTTCACCCTCTTGTACAGCTGCTATGTCTAATCGTAATTTTTTTTCTTCATCTTTTTCAAAAGTTCAACTCTCTCTCTTGAGAACAAACGGATATTTATAATTGCAAGAAATTGATTTAAAAAGGTGTAGTCAGATGCTAAGCTCCATTATTCTCAGTTCACTAAATCTTATCTCAGACGTTAGACTCTAGAGACTTTAGAAAAATCTTCAACAGCGTCGCATTTTGTTAACAATAAAGATTTAATATTCCATCTCTTATTCATGGGACTGATCTTATTAGCTCTCCCAAGGATAAGACTAAACTATTTGCAAAAAACTTCTCTTCTAATTCGATTCTCAAATCTCATATCTCGATTAAACTTTTCTACGGCTTGTGGTTCAGACAACATTCCTGCCATAATCTTACAAAATTGTTTTCCAACTGCCTTCAATTCTCTCTAAACTATTTAAAAAGTGCTTGACTGAGTAGAAAGAAATAGTTTGATAATCTCTAAAACTTTCTCAGATACACCATATGAAACAAGCTTATAGAGAAGACCAGCATGCCAAGCTTTGCCAAACTTTGTCGAAAATCTTAGATATGTCAAGAGCAATAGCTCTTGCATCTCCGCCTCCCTCTAATGCACCAGTAACTTGGTCTTGTTTTGTTTCTTATCTAATTTAATGATTTTCCCGACAACCTTACGTATGCTTAGCCAATGCTTGTGCGGGTTTATGCAAACACGTAATAGAAACACATTTCAGACGCGTGTTATGTGTCCTTTTTTATACGAGTCTAAAACTTATTTCTGGTACGTGCTCTACTTGGTAAAATGGCTAACAAACATTCCGGGATAACACTGAAAAATTTTAAATGCGAATTTAATACCAAGAAAACATCGTATTGAATAATATTTAATATCTGTATTTTATGCGTATTTACAAGAGTTTCAAACGAGGGTTTGATACTTAGTAGGTGTCGTATTGCATTACTGTTTTTAAACGCATCTAAAATAATATATTAAAAAAACAACACTATGAAATAAAATGATATTAACCTAGGAGTGCTGTATTAGCATCCTCGATTATCGTGAAAATCATGCTCAAAATTTCCAATTTGAAAAATGTGTCAACCAAAAAAGATTCCAGATAACAACAAACAAAAAGATTCCAGATAACACGCTGCTTCTGACTTATTTTTGGCTCAATTATTAGAATGATTTTCAAAATTCTCTAACTAATTGATGATGGCGGAGTAGTTACTCTTAATAGGTATAATGGACGGTTTTCTAAGGATCCATCGAGTGCAAAATGGCCACAGTGATGTTCCGCTTTCTACATCTTCTACATTTCGAAATTTATTGAAACATTCCAGTCGTTTTGGAGATCCACGGGCAAATGTGATGAAAGATTGCACTAAATTCATAATATTTCTGATCTCTGTTTGATTTTCAACAGAATCTTGTGCTAGTTAAGATTGTGAGCGTGGTAGTGCACGTAAATTGCCCGTCTTCTTTCCCCCTCATTAAAGTCTGCAATCCATAGATACTTCCAGACATGTTAGACGATCCGTCAAAACATTGGCCCCGACAGTTTTGAATCAACAGGCTAAATCGACACAAAACGTCCATCAAACAGTTTAACAAAGTTGCGTTCTTGATGTTCCCAGTTTGGTAAAATCCCATAAAAAGCTCCTCAATTTTAAATTTTTCATTAACACGCTGAATGCAGATCGAAACTTGTTCTTTCGTCAACATATCCTTTGTTTCATCGGCTATCAAACTATAGAATTGTGATTCCTTTATACTTTCGCATAACTTACAAAGCGTTACATGAGCAAAGTCTTGTAGGATTTCGTTTTCAATTTCAGGCGAGAAAGCCTTACGATTATCCATCATTTCTTTCTTTTGGTGATGATTAAGCTGCTGGATAATGGTCGATTCCAGTATTGCTGAGGCGATCAACAACAAACAGACGCCCTATGGAGTTAAGATTGCTCGTGAGAGCCAAAAATTTGTAACGCTTTCTTCCAGTTAAAAATAAAAGCTTCGTACGAATCTTTTTCTCTTGAACTACGATGTAAAGACATTTTCATTTGGGTAGCTTTGATGCAGGTAGAACAAAAAACTTTTTTTCTTCTCGCGGTCATGTAAAACCCATTTATATTTTTCATTCCAACTTTGTTTAAATTTTCTTCCCTTTTTTGATGGAAAAGATGACAGTCTTGAACAACAAGGTCCAGGCTCCTCTGTAAAAGACGACGACTCAACTATAGCGGTTGAATCAGTTTCATCCAGTGGCGGACTGGCCCTTGAAATTGGTATTATATATATATATATATATATATATATATATATATATATATATATATATATATATATATATATATATATATATATATATATATATATATATAATTATTACAATTAATTATAAATTAAACTATTTGTTATTTCTTGTATATACTATTTAACTCTATTAAACGCGAAATTCTTTAAAGAAATAGTTTTACTGAAAAACTATTTATTTGTAAAACTCTCCTTTGTAAAAATAGTTTATGTAAAACTCACCCTTGACAATCAATAATGATTGTAAAACTTTTACAATCATTATTGATTGTCAAAGGAGAGTTTTAATATAACTGCCATAAGGGAATTGCTAAGGTTTTGCAATTGTTAATGATTATCTGATCCAAGTATAAGCAATGATTTTCCTATGGGAATGTAATGTAAATATGGGAATGACTTTGTAACTATTATTGCCTTTGCGGTGCTTGAACTAATTAACTTAAAAATGAGTTAAATATTCACCTCAAAATTAAAAAAAATAATAATTCAACACAAAAACACACTTGATCAACCAGTGTACTGAGGTGATGCTAGTCTTCTTTTGAGGTTGGTATTTTAGTTTGAAAATTTTTTATTGTTTTTGTTTAATCTAAAACTTATCACAAATATTTATTCAACTTCCGCGCTCAATATAATTATTTAAAGGTTACCGATCATACTAATCGGCTGAAATCATAAGATTTGAAAGGTAGGATAAAATAATTTTCCGGACGATCAAGTTTTCTGTAGTTTTTTATAAGCATAACTGTTTATGTAACATATAAATAACACTTTTTGCGTTAGTCAGCTTAAAGCACCTCAGCGTAGTTTAACTACGCTGATTTCAGATTTAAGTTTTACTAATTTAAATCTGAAATCAATCTGCTTTGAAAAAAATCAAAATGCTTGCAAACATAAATATTTTTAAATCAAAACTAAAAGAAATAATTTTAATTAATCAAAACATAAAGGACTTCTTCTAGAGCTATACTTAATTGTTGGCCTTTAAAATACTGTATAGTATATTTTCATTTTATTTGCAAAGGTTTTAAAACTTGGTTCTTTAAAAACTTAATATTTATTTTTTATTTTCTTATTATGAAAATCTCAAAATTTTTCCTTAAAATTTTAAATTCTTTTAATTATATTTCCTAACCTTATCGCAATAATTAAAAACTGTTATATATAGTCTTGAATATATATATATTTTTTTGTTTGTTTATTTTTATTTTTGCTAAGTATTCAATCATTATTAAAAATAAATTTTAGAGTTTATTATCATTATTTAAAAAATATATCTATATTTTTCTTTTTATATTTGACAACATTTTTAATGACAAGATTTGATAGCTATATTATTTACGGATTTATTGGGGGCTTGGCGATAAGACTATTTTGTCTTCTTCTTGCCCCCGCCATGTGTATATTTTACAAATACGAGAGTTGTAATTATTTTAAACGGCAAATTTATAATAATAATATAATAATAACATAATTCAGCAGAAAATTTTAGCAAAATCCTAAACTTTGACAATCTATCAATAAGAATGAGATAAAATACATGAAAAGGTATTTTTTAATACAACTATTTCTGCTTGTGATGAAAGAAAAAAAGTATATATCATTTTTGCTGATACAGAATTTTAGAATTTAAATAAATTTATATTTGAAATCCTTTAGGATTTTGCTCTGTCGCTTCAAATTGTTAAAAAATTATAAATAAAATTTAAAAATTCATAAAATTAAACATGATTATAAATTAAAAGAGTAAGAAGTGTTATAAAGTGTCTAATCCAAATTATTTCTTAAAAACATGTTTTTTTTTTCATTAATAATCATAATGTTCTCCACCTATTAAGTTAAAGTACTAAAAAAAAAAGATAAATTGGTAGTTGCTGCTCTTTTCCTTCTATTTCCTTCAAGGAATACAATAGAAAATTCATCAATGATGAATTTTCTTATGTGTAAATGCAATAGTTTAATTCCAGTAGTAAGCAAAATCCTAACTTAAAAATAGAATTCAAGAATTTGAGATTTCACAGATCTAGAAATTTTAGTTAAAGTTAAGAATCTAAAATATACCGGAATTATTGCCGTGGCTAAGGAGTCCTTGCCCCCTTTTCTTTACCAAAAATCTGTCATTAGTGGCCTGTCTTTATTTGAGTTTTAACATAAAGTTTGATTTGCAATTTTTGCCGTTAAAACAAATTTGATTGGACAAAGTTTATTTTGGGAGATCTTAATATCATTTTTTCTAAAAGAAGACGATCTTTATTTTTACTTTATTTTTTAAATGTTAAACTCTTAACTCAGGTCACTATCATTATGTCAAAATCTGGAGCACAAAAGCGCAAAGAAAAACTACAGACAGAGATAGATATGTTTCTGCAAAAAAGTGCAAATTAATCACATCATTTTTGTCAGTACAACCACAATGTCAAGGCAATATTGAGTCGAATTTACAAATTACATCAGAGATCATAAAAGCACGAGGTGGTAAAGATCTTAAGTCAAATTTACAGAGTACATCAGCAATAATACAAGCACGAGGTGGTTGAGATATTGAGTGGAATTTGCAGAGTTCATCAACAATAATACCAGCACGAAGTAGTGGAGATATTGAGTCGAACTCTCATAGCACATCAGCATTTAAATATCCACAACGTTTGCAGTTAAAATGTTTTTTTAGCTAACATCCAATTCAACCACATGAACATTTGCCATTTGATAACAAGATCTACCACAGAAAAATGGTTTGACGGACAGGACACCTAGATATAGGTTGTCATTTAGCCAAAATTCTCAGTCTCTATATTGCTCATTTTATGTTGTATTTGAATCACCACAGTCTAACACCGTTTCATCATTTGTATCTGGCTTCAAAGATTTTAGAAGAATTAGCCAACGGTTTGCAGAACACGGATCAAGCAGCACTCACCGCAGGCATGTTCTTGATTACATTCGTATAATTAATAATCAAGACTTTGACAGATTTTGTAGTATATCAATAAAGAAACATAATGATGAAGTACTGATGTGGAAACAAATACTTTCTCGAGTTATTGATATCATTAAACATTTATGTGAGCAAACATTGCCATTTCGAGGTCATAGGAATGAAGGTGCTTATTCATTGGACAATGATGAAGAAAATCATGAAAATTGTTTGGCTTTGGTACAGCTCTTGGCCAAATATGACCCACTTATAGCTTCTTATCTCTTTATGTGTCAAGAGAAGTCAAACAAAATAATAGAAAAACTGAAGCGTCAAGGTAAAGCCGGCAATAAAGGTCGCGGTACTCTGGTTACGTTTTTAAGTAAGACTACTATATCAAAGCTTCTCAATATTATGAAAAATATGATGCAGGAATAGATTACAATGGAAGTGTCCAGAGTAAAAGTGTACTCCGTATAAGTTGATTCTATACAAGATATATCTGTAATTGACCAATTTAGCATTGTGGTTTGCTATGTTTTAGATGCTACTGTGCATGAACGGAAGCATGAATTGTATAAATTGTACCAAGCAATGACGGTACTGACCAAGCCTTGTTCGATCTCTTAAATTTGACGCTACAGCGGCTTGGCTTTAATTTGCAATATTGCTTTGGACAGCACTGATGGTGCTTCAAGTTATTATGGCTAGCACAACGGACTGCAACAAAAGATTACATAAGCTACTGACCACCATGTACATATTTGGTGTTTTGCTCATGTTCTCAACTTAGTTGTGAAGGAGGTAACCAGTTGCTGCATTCGGGCAGTTTTATTTTTTAACCTTTTGCAAAATGTTTCAACATTTAACATTAAACTTGTTGAAACACAAATTGGATGGATTAGATGAAAAAATTGAAATTGATTGGTGAAACAAGGTAAATCAAATGTTGCAACGACGATATTTGGAACATTTTCTGAGCCATCTTCAACAGTGTTTGTCAATTTTATTTTATGTCTGTCATGTATAAGTGAATCAGAAAATTTTGATGGAAAGACACGTCATGAAGCTAAGACATTGCTTATGCCATTCCTAAAATTTGAAACCATTTTGACTGCCTTTACCTACCTGCGAATTTTTGAAAAAGTGGGACCTTTCAATATACATGCAAACTTGTGGATTAAATGTGTTGGTTGCATTCAAAATGGTGGAGAAGGCCGCAATTGAATTGAAAAGTCAATCAAGAGTTTTTGATAATGTTCGTAGTAACGCTCTTCAATTTGTACGGATGGCAAACGCAAGCATCATCCAGGGAACTGAAACCATATTAGAGATGAAGATAGAACTACCAGTTAAACGGAAACGGAAGACACCAATGATGTTACATGAACATACAGTTGACGAACGCGACGAATCTAAAGCTTTGGAACACTACAGAATTCACACTTACAATGCGGTATCAGGTAGTCTAAAATCTTGAGTCACGTTTCACTTCACATCAACAATTATATAAATGGACATGACATGTTTTGATGCATCAAACTTTGGTGATATTGCCCTTTCGGGAATTCTTGAAAAAAATTTACACAGGATTATCAAATTTTTACTAGATGCCGACGTTGGTAAAATAAAGGCCGAACTGTTGTCATTTGTCACTAAAAATGAGATTTTGAAATTGTCCTTGCCCTTAACGACAACATTGAGAGAGAATGTAGATCAAAAGGATGACGAAGAAGAAGAGCGCTGTTATCAGCATACTAATGGAGCATGTGAATCGTCTCCATCATGTGTGTTACAAATTTCTGCTGCATATAGGCTCAACAATAAAACCTATGACAATTTGTATCATATTTATCAAATAATATGTACTATTTCTGTAACACAAGCCGAATGTGAAGGATCGCTTTCTAAGTTAAAGTTAATCAAGACAAGATGTCGAATGACCACTTAGCGTCGTATATGTTAATGTCTGTAGAAAAAAGTCTACTTGATAGCCTTGAGTATGATACGATCATTCAAACAAATGCATTTTTGTCCTTTGAATTCAGCAAACTGTTTAAAGAATAGTCATTGATATACTTTGCACTGTGCAAATTGCACATCGCTTGCACCTTTTTAATTCAAAATATTTTTATTAATCTGTGATTTAATTGTTCCACTTAAGACTTATTTTTAGAAAGTTGCGGACCAGGCAGTCTTTGCGATATATGTATGGTCTGGAGGGCCCTTTAATTATTTTCAGGGCCGGTAATATATATACAGCCAGTCCGCGACTGGTTGGATCATCTGACTGAACAAATTATAAACTTTCATGAGTATTATCTTGGAAGTTATTAGGATTTTGAGATTCAGAAAATAATGCGACTGTTTCAATTTAATTTTCTTTTTTTGAAAAGTATTCACTAATCTTCTTCATTGTACAAGTTATTACTTAAAAGTCAAAGTACTGTTGAACAATTAAAAAATTTCTTCAAAAACTTACGTTTTTTTAATTTAAATGATTTTTAATTCAAAACTTATAAATAATTAATACAAATAATACTGCTAAAGTTATCAAAGAAATAAAAACTAAACGAACGTTTAACTCCCACAACTCTTTCGTTTATGTAGTTCCGTTAATTTGCTTTGTTACATTTTTACTGATCTCAAACTCCCTTGAGACTCATCAGAAGCGTGAAATTTCTGAAATTCGAAAATTAACTTGAACTTTTGAAAGCTTAAAATTTTGAAAATCATAGGTATTTCCGGAAATATTACAATCGTTTTTAAATTGTTATATTTGTTAATATTTAAGTATATAATGGTTTTTATTTTTTAAATATTTTTGAAAGCTTGGTGAATTTTCCCGGTTGGGGCTAAGCCCCAGCGACAAATTTCCGCATGGGGTTCGAACCCCCGAGCCCCAGCGCGTTCTACGCCAATGGTTGCTAATGAAAAGATAATCTAGCTGAAGTACACGGCAAAGCCCGAGTCTTTATGCTTGTAAGCTGGATCTGGAAACTGGAATATATGCAATATTCTGGCATGATATCTTAAAAAGAGCAGATAAAACAAATCACTTCAAAATCCAAAACTAAACACAGAGTAGAAAAGTATGACACACAGAAGTATTTAATCTGATCAAATATAACCAAATGTTTAAACCGAGAACTTAAATAACCAGAACTAACAACTAACAATACTAAAATAGAGTTTTTTCAATGAAAACTTAAATTACCAGAACTAAAAACTAAGAATACTAAAATAGAGTTTTTTCAATAAAAATTCAGGAATAATTTTTGATGATCATTGGAAAAGTAGTATATTGTTTTTTGAGGACAAAATCTCTGGAGATTTTTTAAATTGAACATGTTTAAAAAGTTTAAACTATTTATTTATACATATTTATATTAACTATCGTAATATTGCTTGGACAAGTAATCATTCATCCGTCTGCAAAACGCGCTAAGTCACAAAAATAAAAATTTTGAGTTAATTTTATTTCCACGTTCTATATACTTAAATCTATCATCTATTTAAATAAAAAACTTTTGGTCCTAAAAATGGACAATGAAAATATCAATTTCTGTTGATGTGCAACTAAAAGTAGTTTAGTTTTTTTGTTGTTTTCTCAAAATCAGTTTACTCAGACTTAGCGCGTTTTGCAAATGGGCTCCTCATTTATACTAAAAGAAAGGAAGCAAGTTGGTTAGTTTTGGGCGCAGATAAGTACTTGTATAAACTTCATTTATACTTAAACTGCAAAATAAAATAATTCAAAAACATTTTTATAAAAATTTCTCATAATCGTATATACTAAACAAGACACTAAATATTATGGCTATGATTCCATTAACGTCACTTAAAAAATCTGACTTCTCAATTACATGTCGGAGACCACGCATGAGGAACTCAATTCTAGACAAAAAAAAATAAACGAAAATCATAAGATCTATCGATATATATTTAAAAGAACTATAGAAAAACATATACTAAATTTAAATCAAAACAAACACTCTTTTATTTAGGAAAAAAAAAGATTTTGTATGTAGGTGACTAAAACAATATTTTATTATATGCTTTTGTTATTTGTGTGTGTTTGTTTTAATTCTGTTTTAAAAAAAACAAATAAATGAATTTAAATTTTCTAAATGTTCTTAAATTTCTTAAATTCTCAATCTTTTTAGAATTTTAATTATAAAAAATTATTTTATTACGTATTCAAATTGTAAAAGCTTTATAAGATTCAGTTGATTTTACAAATTTCTTTTTTTTCGAAATTTTTAATTTCACATTTTTGTATAACATTTGTAACAACTTTTATTTATAAAATTTTCATTTTACAAAGAGGAATGGTAGTAAGACGTGCTGTTTTCTACTTGTCCCAATCAGATTGTAAAAGTATATTTACATATGATAACTGTAAGGATAACATTGTAAAATGTCTGCATATTGAAGAAATAAATAATAATTAACGGGAGAATGTGTGCCAATAATGATCATATCATCTCTGAACCAGATTTTATAATGTCGTATGTTCAGTGTTTTTTCATATGTCTTATTATACCTATATTATTAAAGATTTTCAGACTATTGATATGCAAATGGATTAATTTAATCCAAGTTGTTTAATTTAGCATAGAGATGAAAATATTTTTTAACTGCGCATTACAGTCAGATGTTATGAATTAATGAATACATCAAAGTTATGCATTGTTGTTTTAACTAAATGTTTTAGTTGGGTGGTATTACAACGGGTTTAACTTCATGCATCAGTGCACAATTATTTTTTTTTAATTAAAATTTTAATATTAATCCTTTTACAAAACGAGTCATTGTTAAACGCTCTTAATTTCAGCGATTCTCGGTGACAAAACCTCCCTCAAGGTTTTCTTAGAATTTAAATATATATATATATATATATATATATATATATATATATATATATATATATATATATATATATATATATATATACACACACACATATATACATACATTTAGTAATTACGCGTTTAAGTGGTTATTTATAATTATCCTTTTTTTTTTTTTTACAGATTTATGATGTGCTTTGTTTGTTATTGACACTCCCTTGACCCAAAAAAAGAGGAGAAAACAAAAAAATCAAAACCCAAAACCATTTTAGCTCTGGATAAAGAAAAATTGAAAGAGTTGGAGAAGCATAATCTTTGCAATCCATATTGATTCATTTAAGCCAACCTAATGTTACATCATAGAAGAGAGCATGCACCAAATATTCGATATTTGTCCAATATTAAATGTTAAATATTCTCTGACCAACTTGGCATGTACGACATTGCTATCACTCACATCAGTTCGATTAAACTTGTATGTATAAACCTAAATGTAAATAATAGCTTATCACTAAAATTTTGCTTCTAATGAAAAAAATTTGGAAAAGTCTTGAAATTTACGCTGTAATTTTATTATGCATGTTAATCATTTAAGGGGCAACTACCTTCTAAATTTTTCAAAAATAAAAAATAATTTTTTAACTAATATAGACCAAAACTTTATGCTGAATTTTAATCTGCAAAAAAAAAAAACAATATGTTTCTTAATAAGTTTTGCCTATTATTTGTTGATGTTTAAAATGGCCATAGCAACGCGCATAGCAACGGAGAGAAAGCACTCCTTTTGTGCTTTTGTTTCAAATACAGATTAAAATTTATATCCTATTCGCTACCTAGAATTATGTTACTTATTATATGTAATCTATATTGCTTCTAAAATATGATTATATCAAGTTATCAATGATTATTTATACAACATCATAAACAAAAATATGAAAAGCTAATGTAGGTGCATTTGAAACGACATAAATATTATTATTGGTATAAGTCAGTTATTCAAATTTATGAAAAACATAAAATGCAACTAGGGTACTTTACTTTTGCTGGTTTCAGACTTGAACAAGAAGTTATAAGATATAATTATTTAGGACGAGTGAAAATTTTAAGGTTAAACGTAGGTTTTTATGGTTTCAACACTTATCAAAAAGCGATAAGTCAATAAAATACTCAGGAAATTCTATGAACCTGGTAGCTTTTAAAAGAACTTTTTAAAAGTCATTTTTTTTTAAATTTCTACTTAAAAGTATCACATTTTTATAATTTATTTTTTGTTTTGCGTTTACCAAGACTTTGCATTTCAGGCACGCCGTAACAAAAATCTCAAAAGCAATAAATGCTATCATGATGAAATTTTCAGGGATTATTTATTTTATCAATATTTGTTATATGAGTGGAATAGAATTTCCAATTAAACTTTTGGTTTTGAGTTATCGAGTTTTTTGTATTTTATTTTAAGCTTTTTGTTATTAATTTGTTTTTACTTTTATACAAGTACACTAAGCTTATTAAAAAATCGGCTTTACTCATATCACAGTTTTACATATTCAGAACAGTTTTTCAAAGTTACACTATCACTTCTTTATTCATTCTTCCTTATTTTTTTACAGCATAAACACAGTTTTTTTGGTATTTTTAGCTATTTTTATTGCAGGGCCGACGACACGGGTTTCAAAGTGGAGCGGCACACTCCCTTATTTAAAAAAAAAATGTCAACTTCTAATTTAACTTCTTAAAAAAAAAAAAGGTTCTTCAATAAAAAGTTAAGGGGTGGGGCACTGGCCCCCTAGGTGTCGTTGGCCTTGTATTGGTTACAATAGCAACGAGCTACCATTTTACATATATTTTTTCATTTTTAATGACAGTATGATATTTACTGTTTGGATTAAGAAAAAGTTAGTTAATATGCGTTGTTTTAAAATTTGAGGGTAGTTGCCCTTTATATTACAAAATTTGGATGCTAAAAAATAATTGTCTGGTATCATAATATACACCTATAATAAATGTTGGGTATTATTTTTACTGCACCTGTACAGAGTCGGACTGGCTTGATAAAACGGCCTGGGAGTTTTGGTCATGGCGGGCCACCTTATTTTATGTTTCATTTATCTATTGTTATTATATGGATAAAAATTTTTTTAATCTTCTCACCCTAAATATTGATAAAAAAATAAATATTTCTAAAACACTGTTGTAAGTTAAAGTCTATAAATAGTAGACACAATCGCTATTCACTATTGACTAGTATAGTAACTTTTTCATTGTTTGATTAGTCGATGCCAAAACATCAATGATTTCATTGTTATTAATTCTTGTAAGAAGGTCTTTTTCACAAGATATTTGGATGAATGATTTGAGTGGCTCATCAAATTCCTTAATCTGTTTAAAATATATTTAATTTGAGAATGACCTTTCACAAGCAACTTGTGATGAGGATAATGTCAACACAAATTTGTATACCAAAAACAAATTTGAATACGAAAGATTATGCAAATTGAACTTCTGGAGTACAAAGTAACAACAACAAAAAAAACACTTTTTTGAAAAATTTGCATTTATTTCTGTGGCTATCGCTGTTTTCTACAGCTGGGATTCTAAAGACAGTTTCAAATTCCACGGATTTAGATTGTCAGATGTTGTCCGAGACAAAGTTAGCTACTTCCGTGTCGAATAGCAAATTATACTCATTTTTAAGAGATGTTTCAAAATATTTCCTTGCAAAGTACAATAACTCCGTTTGAAGCTGGTCTATTGTTACACAATCATCCAAATTTCTGAGCAACCCAATGAGGTGCTGCAATGCGTCACTAAGCATTTTTTTCTAAAATTTCTACAAATTTTTTGGATCTAAACAAAATAAATCAGCATATACCATGCTCAGGTAATCTGAGATTAAATAGAGATTATCTGAGCATGCTCGGATAATCTCTGTTTTAAACTACTAATTATTTAAATCATTACATTGTTGTGAAGACTGACACGAAACTTATCTTTTGCACTTTTAAGTAATTTCTTGGCTCTAATTTTTTTCTTTTTCAATACGGTCTGAACTTCAATACCATATTTTTGTATTTTATCCATTCCAGTTGTTTGCAAATATTTAGATGATGGCATTGTGTTCTCAATCACTTTCAAAAACAATTTTGCCGTCAAAATAAATTCAAAAATTGTCAAGGAATCTAAAAGAGTTTTTTTGCTTTCTGTAGCGGACATCATTATTAAATTTGATCGATGTTGAGATATCATGAAATATTTGTAATATGTCAATATACAAAGTAATACTTGTGTTTCTTGATTGGAGGTTTTAAAATTTCCAAATATCTTAGTAAGAGTTATATTTTCGCCCACCAACGGGATTCACCGATTACAAATATATATTTCAATTTGCTAAATTCATGTCAAACATTGAAGCGTGAGTATGATTTCAATAAAAATACTGCCCATGTGTTGAAAACACAAAATAAGGTAACAAGTTTAACCACTTTTTTAGTAACGTCACCCATTTTTAAATTTAAGACATTCACATAACACCGTATATGAATCTGACCCGGGGAGACTCTATTTAACCAAGTTTTGAATTGTATTGACCTTGCATATTGGAGATTCCATCGGTTGCATTGCCAGTACATTTACTAATATAAATGCCTACCTTTTCAAAAACGCCACAAACCGAATTACACATTCATTTTCCAGTTGTTGATGTGCAATTGGCTATCGATATTACACGTTTATGTACAGCTTCTTAAACATACCGGATAACAATATAGCATCATTTATAACAAAAATATGACCAAGTCCCCACGGCCTCTACTGTTGCTAACTGAACCATGCCAAAATTCTCTTTAACCTCTTCATCATTTCGGCGCGTATACATGCTTATAATATCTTTGGAATTGATTTTTAAAACATATGATTCTGTGCAGACTGCATGGAGAGCACTGCTTTTATGTTCTGATATTCTTTGATAAATATACTTTTAAAGTTATATCCACTAAAGAGCCTTGATTGATCTGAGGCTTCGATAAATGCCAGACAAAATGAACAAAAAACAGTTTTTGTGTATTTGCCAGAGACGAGGCCTATTGTTTCTAAAGTAAAACTTGCGTTTATTAATTTTAACTTTTGGTTCAAAATTGTTTTTTTTTTTGGATAAAATTTAAAAAATTATTTCAAAAAATCTGATAGGGGTTTCACAAAATAATTAAAATTGTTTTAAGTTTCTTTACTTGGCTTGAATTGATTAGAGTTTGGATAGGAGGTAACAATTTTCTTTTAGTTACATTTTAGTTTACCATTTATTATAATCAACGGAAAAAAAAATGTAACCTAAGAAAAAATATGATTTTTTTATGGCAACCGGCCCACCGGGAATCTCCCAGTATCCAAGCGGCCCAGTCCAAGCCTGCACCTGTAAAACTGTGGCTTACAACTTCAAGATCTTTTTCGTTGTCGGCTGGTTTCTCCGTAAGATAGCCGATTTCCTTTAGGGATAATGGAACCAGTTGGTCAGGGTTTCGCGGTACTAGGGCAATGAACGAAAAAATATTTAGAATAAAGATTTAAGAAGCATTTGTGCAGGAACAACATTTTTTTGTTATCATTATGCAGAAGTACCAGCTGCTTGAGTGGTCCGTCGGTTGACACCAAGTTCGCTTGATAGTAAACTTCATGGCTTTCATTTTTCTTATGTACCAACCTATAGAATATTACATATAACTAGTTATACAAATTTAAGGACGGGAAGTCTTACACACCACTTAACACAAGGTATAAAATTAACATAACATATTTTCCTATAGTACACCAATATATATGGAAACTTTGTCAATAGCAACTTCTTAAAATGAATTACATAACAAAATCATTGAAGTTCTACTAAATAAAACACTCGTATGCAAAAAAGCAATTGTTAAATTTAATTTTACAAAATTCTTTTGCAAGATTTGCAAGTGAAATGCAGTGGCCAGGACTTTTCTAAATTTCAGACAGACATGCCGAATCATGCTTTGTAGGCCAAAAGGATTTTAAGACTTTCTTTCACGAGTACTTTTTTGAGCTTGTTTTTACAAACTAATCCCATTAAAATAAAATCATTGCTCGTTTATATAATTATATAAAAATAGATTTGTTTTTGTAGCCTATATTCAGGATATGGGCTACAAAACACGTTTTTGTCAAACTTTAAATTTTAGACATTTGATAAAAAATCAAAAAGACATTTTCAAACAAAAATTAATGGAAATAGATTTTTTTTTACCTTGATTGTTTAAGTTTAGGTTGTTACTTTTTACCTTAGTCACGTACTTTTTACCTTATTTACGTAATTTTTACCTCCTAAATAATTAGAATGACTGTTAATTAAAGAAAAAAAAAGATGAAAAATAAAATAAATGTATTAACTGTTTTTTTTAAAGAAAAAACTAAATACCAACTAATAATTCTTCTGAAAAATGAAACTATTTAATTTTAAGTGATTTGCAATAAAGCAAAAAAAAATTTTTGCCGTAGAACTTTTGTAGATGTTTTATTACGTGGCATCAAACATCTCAAAAAAACAATGTTGATCGATGTTTCACTTGTACATTTTGATTGACAAGTACAAGTAAGATAAGCAAAAATTGTTAATGTTGGTGTGAACTTGGAATAAAAAAAAATTGTTTATTTACTTTAGTGTACAATCAGAAAATTAAAACAAGTAAAATCATAAAACCACATCAAGGAGAATTGTTCAAAAAGTGCTTTGAACCTAAATATCACATCGCATTTAATTACAAAGACGGAATATCCAATAGAAATTATTTAACCCATAAAAAAAGTATTTTACTGGTGGTACTAGTTTAGTTTGTTCTACAGTTAGTTACGGTTATAGTTTTTTAGAAGAGAAATTTTAACAAGGCAATTCACTGCAAAACGGCAATGATAGACCAATACCTTGTGTTACTATTTTGCTCTTTTCATTTTACTAAAATATAAAACTATTAATTAATTAAAATGGTTTCCATTAATTAAAATGGTTTCCATTGCTTTCCTTAAAATACTTTTTTAATTGTTAGAATAAACATTTTATACAAAGATAAAATTGATTCTACTAAATTAACTTTTATTGAATCACTAGATTTTTAGTTTTTCCTATTGCATATCGATATTGCTTTATTATGCATATTTACAAGTTACTTTAGGCCATTTATAACCTATTTTGGAATAGACTCTAATGCAGTTAATCCAAAATAAATTAATACAGATTTTATCCTTTCTCCACCATCTCATCATTATCTCCACCATCACAAGAATAAATTACATCAAAATTTATACCAATTTCAAATGCTCTTCTATTTACATAGAACATTTAAAATTATCTTAAAAGTCTTATTAAATTGAATAAATAGTTTGAAATAGTATTATATTAGTTAAATAAATAAATTTAAATGTAATTACTTGGATCAACTATTAAAGTTAATGGTCTAAGTACAGGTTTATATAAAACTTTTTTTAAAAGGGTTCAAAAGCTTACAAACTTAATTATGAAATTCAATGCAATTAAACTTCCATCTTAGTTATACTTCCATGAATTAACTAACCCAATAATTTCTATTAGGAATCTAAAACATGTTTGCATTTATGTTTATTGTGCAAACAAAGAAATAGTTAGATAAACTCGCGTAAACTGAAACTTTTTCTTTTATAAAAAAAGATACCTTTAATTCCTAAAGCATTAAAGCTTTTTATGATTTTTGTAACTTTTTATGATTATTGTATTAATGTGTGTATAGTAGTGGTATAGTGATAGAGCGCTCGCCTCATAAGCGACAAATTCCAAATTCAATCCCCACCACATCCCTGGTAATACCGCGCTCAGTTTATTTCTCCACACAGCGGCCTTGTTCATCATGGTTTGTGTTTTAGAGTAATAAAGTTGAGAGATGGTTGCAACCACAATTAAAGTAGACTCATCAAAGGTGATGGCTTTCATGGCTTTGAGAAGGTGAACAAGCATTACAAAAAAAGGCATAACCAATTGTCTACCAGATACTTTTATTTATGTTTTAGTTCGTATTAGACTTTGAAATCATGATTCCCAAGTAATTGTGGCTTTCTCAAATAAATTTGGATTTTTGAGTGTATTTATGTCTTGTATATCATAAAGTCTATTTATTTACATGTTGTTAAAAATTTTTATTATGTATTAATACAAACAAAAAAATGTAAGTAAAAAATAATAGTTACCTCTCATTCACAAACAAACTAAAAGAAATCATTTATCGCTTGCTGATACATTTTTATATTTGTAAACGTTAATAATTGACTGAATTATTTTATGTGTTTATGCAGTCAGTTATCTATATAAATTTGTGCTTTAACTTTATTTGTGTTTTATTAACTTTACTATGCTTGTACGTTGAGAATTTTTATGAGATTTCTTGTTTAGGTGTGGTTCTCGATATCAAAAACCTTTTCTCTCTGGGGTGGAATAATTTAGACGACCGTGGCGCAGCCGTTAGAGAGCTTACTTTAGGAGCAAGATATTCAGGGTTCAAAACAAGCTCTTGGCAGGGTCAGATTGGCATTTAGGGGTCTGGGAAGAGAAATAGATGCAGAGTCGCCATATATATAAAAGTTTCCCTATATTACATATGAAGGACCTTTTTTTTTAAAACCCTTAATCACATAGTTTTTTCTTAAAAGGTATAGAAAAATAAAAATTATTTGTGCATCTTGAGGGGCCGGGGGGGTTTCTAAACCCCATCGCCAGTCCGAGCCTGGATCTGGGTATATTTTGCTAAAGATTAGATTGCATTATTAAAAATAAATGAAAATGAAAACCAATTAACTAAAGATTGTGTGATCATTAATTTCAACAAAGAAGACACACTGATTCTATTTACGCGATATATGTTTTGATAAATGTGAGAAATATTCACCCGAGTCAACCTCCTAAAATTTACTAACCTAACCAAAGTATTAATTAAAATAATTAAAAGCAAAAAAATAGTTTTAGTATGAAATTTTTTTTTTATTATTCTTAGTTATTAAGGTGCTCCAAGAAGTCCAATAATTCTTATCATAAGCATTTTCAGAAAAGCATTTAACCAGGAAGTTTACGCCTATTTTCTTACCAATGATGTATACATGACCAGCGCCGGTTTCGAGCCACGGACTTCCAGCTCTGTAGCCAACTCTTACCTCTACACCACGGCTGAGTTACACGGTAAAAAACTGATTTTAATGTGGAGTTCCATTGTAACAGCAGAAATAATGAATTTCATTGAAACTGTGCATTATTGTTAAATGTTATATATTTTTAATGACAGGTATTGTTACGCATTTATCTCCAAGTGGGCATTGGACATCATAAAATGTCTGACGGACGTCGAGTCTAGACGTCCAATTGACATCTGTTAGACGTCTTAGGACGTCGGATGCCCACTCGGATAGCACCATGTTGATTTATCGATACTTTTTTTTTTAATTTGAATCTTTGAAAATCTTTTAACAACGAATAATTACTAATACGTTAAATTTTAGCAGCCTTGGTGACTAAATTTCATGGTTTTTATTGAAATTCCTCGTACTTTTTTTTTTTTTTTTTTAGCAAAATCTATTTGTATAGAAGTAGTAAAAAGGAACAAAAAATAGGAACAGAAAAAAAAAAGTAACTTCATGAAAGCTAAGCATCGTAGCATAGTCATGGAATACAAATAAAATATCTATTATTATAACCATGATCTAAGTAATTTCAAGTTGTTGCAATAATATGCCCGTAACCAATTATTACTGCAAACAAGTTTCGTTAAATGAAAAAATAGTTTTTACTAAAACATCGAAAATCGTTCTTTTTTATTTCTAATGAATTTAAAATATTGTATGGGAAACGAAAAGGAAAAATATTTTAAAGTTAACTTAAGTGTAAAAATGCTACTTGCGTCAACTAATAAAATTTGAGATTCTAAGTACAGTTTTGAATTAAATTTCTTTTGTAAATGAAACAAAAGCTTGCAAACTCGAAACATTTAATGCGATTGAATTTCCATCTTATTTATACTTCCCTGGTTTAACTCAATATTTTCTTATAGGAACCTAAAAAAATGTTTTCAATTATATTTTTTGTGTAAATAAATATAGTTTGATGAACTTTTGTAAACTGAACCTTCCTCCATTTTTTTTTTATATAAAAAAGTTACCTATAACTACCTGAAGCTTTTTTTTTTCGATCCGTTTGATGGAAATTATTACTAGTATTTTTTTTTTTACCTCGTTTCTAATAAATATTTTTTAAATAAATGAATTATTGTTTTAAATTTAATATCTAATAATGATTTTTTTAAATAATTTTGAAAAGGCGTTTTTTTTTTATATAATTAATAAACTTTTAGCTTATTTTATTTTTTCAAATTTTGTAATAAATAAATAAAAGCAGACCATCATAAGTTTAAAGTTTAGACATGCAGAAAAAAAAGTTTTAAAGTTTAGTCTGAGATTTAAAAAATCTGAATTTTTTTTGCATATTTAAAAATATGAACGCTCTACGCAGAGCTTTGTCGTTATGCAGCAATTTTTATAATATGTTTTAAACTTAGTTAAAATTAGTTTAGCGTTTTAAATTTGATCATTAAATGATTTTGTTGTTTTTTAAATGCACATGTTTTTTTAATGCATTGTTGTTTTAAATAACCGAATTTGTAATATATTTATTACGAATCGCCTAGGAAGAAACCTTTTAAACCTCTGCGTTGATGAAAACAATAAGGTAATGTTATTTTATTCTATGCTTTAAACCAATCAGTGAATAGTATTCGGCCGGACCCTTTCTCTCTAGAATCTAGCTACTAAAGTTAACAGCCGCCATGATGTGAATATTTCTTATGAGAAATTATATTTAATGGAGCTTTTAAGGATATACAGAAATTATTACTCTTTTATTTGTTATTAAAAATGGTTGAGAAAATGTCAGGTGATCTTGGTCAAAACTCACGGGCCTCTAAAGCTCTTTCAGATCGAGTAAAATCTATTTCTAATTATAATAAAAGTGATACTGCTAAGGAGAAGAACGTTCGTCATCCAGAGCAGTTTAAGATAAAGTTTGACAAAGGAACTTTATTTCTTTCTGCTGTTTCATCTGGTGATTTGGAAGAGACAGAGAGTTTACTTAATGAAGGGGTTGATATTGATTTTACTAATATAGATGGTCTTGCTGCATTGCATCAGGTATTATTTTTTTGCAAAAAGGTTTAGTAGTTTATTAGACAATTATTAACCATTTTTGTATAAATGGAAGTATTTTAGTTTTTTTAAATTTTTATAACTTCAATTTGATAGCCTGAAAATATTTGAATTAGTCTTGGAAACTTTATAGGCACATTTCAATAAGAAATAGTTATATAATTAAAAAATTATTGTAAACAAACATAATTTGCTGTTAAAAAACTTTGGCTGAATTTTTATGATTTGTTTGTAGCATATTGTACTGCTAATATAGACCAAATAAAATAGAATTTGATTGTTACTTAGGTCAAAATAGCAATAGACATAAAGTTCATCGCATGTTTTTGAGAGGTTTAAAAATTTGTAATTTTATGCTGTAAATAAATAATTTTTTTTTATGGATTGAGCCCTTAAAGTTATAGTAAAGCGCTATTGTATTTAAATGATCTTTCAAATTATTTTATATATCTGATATATAATAATGTAATGGTATTTCAAATTGATCAAATGAATCAAAATGAATCTAAAGATACATTATTTTCAATATCCCTTGTACATTTTAAGTTTTTCTGTGAAAGAAAAATTACATATGCTGCACAATATTTTGTATTGCTTAATTATAACTTGTTTGCACACAAGTATTTTACTCAAGATAATTTTTGATGCTATAACATATTTGTTATGAAATTACTTTGCCCTAATTTGATATAGTGGGGGGGAGTATTTATGCATCGATGTTTTGCCTAAAATCAATACTCACAGTGATAAAGCTTGTATATTGAATTGCAAATAAGATCAATTAAAATAATTTTAAATTATATTAATATTTCATAAAATATTATCTCTAAAGGGATATGATGTCTATGAATCAATATGAAGTCTCTATAAAGTGTTAATTAATTAAAAAGTTACACAAAAAATTTTTTAAAACCTAAACAAGAAGTTGAAAGAGGTTTAAAAATAGCTCGTTTGACCAACTTTCATGGGAGTGTTAAAAAAAATATTATATAAAAGTGCTTTTTAAGTATATATATATATATATATATATATATATATATATATATATATATATATATATATATATATATATATATATATATATATATATATATTTATATATACAAATAGATTTATATGAAAGTTGAAGTTTGAGTCAGTTCCTATTAATATTTGTTTTTACTGAAAAGTTTATTAGATCTGCTATTACACCTGCTATTAATTTATCGTGAATGCTATTAAGACATTGCTATATTTTTCCTGTTCAATACCTTGCATTTTTCCATTTTTCTCTATATTTTATTTAGTTCTTTTTTCTTTTGTTAGAAATCTATTAGGTGGAGTGTATTAAAAAAAGAATCATATTGGCATATTTATTTAATATATTGTGCTCAACACTTCTGAAGCTTGAGTTTATAATATATATAAATCTACCAAGATTGGAATAAAATAATTGATTGTCATTACTGGATATTCTAGTTAAAAACTAGTCTCAAGCAGAACTTGTTCTGATTCACTTTACCAATGTAGATTTTAATTATTTTTAACAAATTCACTCCCAACAAGGCTGCAGACAACCACTATTAAAGCTGAGAAGTCTAGAAAGTAGAGAAAAATAAAGATCAAGAAAATGATTGACTGAAGAAAAAAAGCTATAAGAACCAGGAAAACATAAAGGTAAGATAGAAATCCCAATTTATGTTTTTCAAGCATAGAGGAACAGTTACAGTAAATATATTGCTGAATAATGAGTCACAAGCAACCTTAGCAGGTGCTAATTTCACCTACATGCATCTACAGACCTTCAAGTGTATTAAATTCTGAAGAGTTTGTGTATATTGCATCGATGTAGATTTTTGGTAAAATAAAAAAATGTCATTAAAATGAGGATACTTTTTTTTTTAAAGTATATTAAGTATTTTTTTTAATTTACAATAAGAAAATAAATTCATCTATTATTTTTCATTAATACCTATCAAAATTCTTGAAAAAATTCAGAATAAAAAAATTAACAAATGTCAGGACAATTTTTAAACTTATATATCTTTTATATATTTGTTTCATTTAAAAAAAAAGGGTTATATATTGGTCATCTGATTTTCGCAAAAGGCTTTATAGAATGTAATAGTAACATCCTCCTTCTCTATGCAAAGTTACAAGGAAAAAAAAAGGCAATTGCATCAACTATGAAAATTAACATATGGGGACAATTCACAGCAAATGGTGATTTAAGTTGTCAAAGTTTCATGACATGTGTCATCAAAATGTGTTATGCTTATCTATATACTTATCTATTTATCTATATCTGTCTTAAGATTCACAATTATAAAACTACCGGAATAGCCAATAATAAACAATAATAAGTAATAATAGTGATAAAAATAAGTTTTGTTGAAAGTATACATAGATGTCATATGCTTAAACTCCTAATAACTAAGTACTTTTCGAAAGTCTCAAGATTGCATCTCTAAAATTTAGAATTAGAGTAAAATGGTAAAAACAAACTTTGTCTAAAATGGCAAGATTATTTTCTGTTGACATAATATTATTTATTTAGTTTCATTCAAATTTTTTTAACCAAAACATTTTTATATTAACATTATCTTCAATACAAACATAAAATGTGTTGGGAATTGGCAGTCTCTTTAACATAGATGAGAAACAGCATGTGTTAGAGATGGAATCTTATGGTACTTCAGATGTTACTAGAAATAAAGGATGTTTTCAATCATGGTTTACTTAAATACTGTGATTAGAAAGTAATAGTTCAATAATATTGAAAATTTCCCTAGATACTTTAAATGAAGAAAGTGTTCAGAGAAGACCTGCATGTTAAACTTCATCTAAACTCATTGGTAAATTTAGGACAATGATCCTTACCTTACTACTTCAATCTAATGTATAAACAAACCTTTGTGCTATTAATAACAGTTAACAAATTAGCATTTAAATGAGAGAATCAGAATTTGTATTGACAGACATTCCAATACACTTTTACCAGCTGCAAAATTTAATGCTTTATATCATTTTGAATGAGAAACCAATATAGCAATTCTCTTTGCTGTGACATTTGTTAGTAGTCTGAAAAAAAGAACAAAAAGCAAAAATAATAGAGGCAAAAAAACTGCTTCTAGCTAACAATAAAGTTTTTAGCAAACCAGGTATGATTTTTATTGACATTTGGGCAATGTCTGAGTTTGTCTTTGATAAAGCTTGAGAAAAACTTGGAAAAGAATTGAGTAAGGCTAGTAAGATCATTTTGTTTGTGGGATACCATGTATGTCTTCTTATGACAATTGATCCCCCACACTTTATTGATTTTATCAATATTGCTGATGTTGAGTGTGATCTATTTTATGTGATACCATAGGGCTTACAGTGGCTAGTGAATTTTAATCCAGACCTCCAAAGCTATTTACTGCTATTAGTTATCACAATATTTTTGATATTGTGATAACTATTATCAGGGCTTTGGAGCCAAGATGAAAAAATTGGCTCCAGCTCCATTAAAATTTTTGGCTCCGGCTCCAAAGCAGCTCCAGAAGAAACAGATCAAAATAATAAAATATTTTATAAAGTATCATTTTTGGTGGTTATATCTAGATTGCTTGATATAAACTCAAGTGCAGAAAATAGCCTCTCTGCACCTGCTTGTAAGAAAGCCACAGAAGTGACTATTCTGTACACCTCTGTATACTTTTTGGGTATTCCTCAATTCCCTCAAAAGCTAAATTTTTAATTTTCTTTTTCTTACCGCTCGTGATAGTTGTCCTTAAAATTTGTATTAAAAGTGTTTTTATCTATAAAAAAAAAATAATTTTGGTCACACTACTTGATTTTTCTTTTAACAAGTTCTTTTTCAAACTTTTTCAATTCTTTATCGGAATTAGATTTACCTAAAATTGAGTGAAATACTGCAGATAATTCAGCTTTTTTTTAAATTTTTTGACTTACTGTTATATTTTTGGCATCCCTTTTATAAGTTATTTTCTGCTATTGCTTTTAGATTTGTTTTGCTTATAAATCTAATTCTCTTCTAACAAAATTCTACAACTAGTATCAACAAAAACTGCAGCTAGAAATATATGATGAATTTCTTAGTTTCTTGACAATATACCGAACTTTTGTCAAAAGTTGGGTAATATGTGTTACTTTTAAAGCATCACAATTAACTAGTTGCAAAGTGTGAACAATGCAGCACATCAACTTAATCTTAGTATGTTTACACCTTTCTTGGAGAACTTAGGTTAAATTTTTTTCCCAAACTGCTGCACTTTCTTGTTAGTATCATGTCATAAATGCTCCTGATGTTCCTCATCCTGTATAGTTTCATCCAGAAAATTTTCATCATCTGAATTTTTATTTAAAAGTTTGATTGTCTCTAATGTTTTAAAGTAACTTTTAAAGTATCATAGCAACATAAACTACATGACATTTTACAAAAAACAATTTTATGAAAATTAATTTTTAAACGCAAGCACTTTTTTGAATGTATACAAAAACAATTTTATATACATCAGGTTTAGTATAATTTATAAAATATTTAATTCTTAAGTGCCTCAAGGAAAGCATCAAACACTCAACACTCAATCTATACAAATAATATCAATATCAAAGTATAAAATTTAGAAATCATAAACTTTAAATTCATTATTAATTACAGTTTAATTGAAAAAAAAAAATTTCATATAAAAATAATTTTATAGTACTTAGAAATCCCTTTAACAAAAAATGCTCATACTTAAATCTTCCAAATTATCAAAGAGAGGAGCAGCTTATTTCTTGGTGGAGCTGGTTCCAGAGCTGGCTCCAACAAGAAATATTTTAGTTCCAGCTCCAGTTCATCTCCTTGTAAAAACACCAGCTCCAGATAGTTCTAGTTCCAGCTCCGAAGTAGTTCCATAGCCTTGATTCCTATAATGATGAATGACACATTTTTTTTCTCAAATTATTCTACAATTCTAAACTCTCATTAGAAGTTTGCATCTACTAAGGTTGTCTCTCTT